TACCCTATGAATGGCTTCAGCTCCTCAGGCCAAATGAGCCACGGGATAGGCAGAGATCAAAGGAATGGAGATTACCCAGCGCCTGTGAAGTAATTTACATCTTGGTGTCTTCAGGCACCATTATTGTAATGGAGAATGCAGGAACCGGCTCCCTACAGGTCCTGGAACTTGACTGTTCAATCTTACAAGACTACATGTAGGGAGCTGGATTGATGACACCAAGATAAGCACTTGCTGCTCTTGCTGAGGACCCAGGTTTGGTTCCTAAAATCCACACCTGGGCTCACAACCATCCGTAACTCCAGTTCCTGGGATCAGCTACCCTCTTTGACCTCTGCAGGCACCAGGCATGCAAATATATATATAAAATATTTATTTAATGTATATGGTGCTTTGTATGCATGCACATGTGCACACCAAAAGAAGGCTTCAAATCCAAATGTGGGTGCTGGGAATTGAACTCAGGACCTATGGAAGAGCAGTCAGTACTTTTAATTGCTGAACCATCTCCCCAGCCCCTAAAAAAAAACTTTTAAAATACAGTTGTGTTGCTGGGAGGTGGTGGAGCACCCCTTTCACCTTTAATCCTAGCACTTGTGAAGCAGAGGCAGGAGGATCTCTGAGTTCAACCCAGCCTGATCTACATAAAGAGGCCCTGTTTCAAAACAAAACAAATAACAAAAAATGAACAAACAAATATAAAGGACAGGACAATGGATTGCAAGATGTGACCCAGAAAACGGGCATAGCTGGCTACGGACACTACTGGGACAAGTGACAAAATTTGATTGGCTAGTATGATTTTGTTGATAGTATTTTCTTCAACGTGAATTTTCTAATTTTGATTGTGTCTTGAAGAAATATTGGACAGGGCTGGGGATGTAACTCGGGTTTGTTTATCATGCAGATGGCCCTGGCTCAATCCCTGCACTAGAAGAAACAGATCAAAGTTCTATCCAATAAACACAAAGGGATGTGTTTAAAATTAAGAGGCATAACTAAAACTGGGCGGTGGTTGCACACACCTTTACTTCCAGCACTCGGGAGGCAGAGGTAGGGGGATCTCTGTGAGTTCGAGGGCAACCTGGTCTAAAAAGAGGCACAACTCTCTCCAGCAGGATCCCAGATGACTCAAAGAACCAAACATAGCATGCATCCCTGTTCATATAGATGTGTGGCAATGGAAGTTCCCAGATAATTCTCACGGTCTTCCCTAAATTGGGAAATATATATTTTAAATGATTAGGGAAGCCTCAGTAGTCTCTCTGTGGTGATGAGGACATAATCTGTTCTCTTTTGCAGAAATCCCCTTGAAATTACACTACCAAACTTACCCTGAGCACAGCCCAAGCCTGCCTTGCTGGATCCCTATGCAGGTTGGCTGTTGGTGGAAGGACATTGAATTCCAGCAGACAAGGAGACATCAAGCTCCCTTGTAGCTCGAATTGCAGGCCTCTGCACACCTGAAATACATGGGCAGTGAACCAGACAGGTGCCAGAGCATGGTGGGGTTTATTTTACACTTTTATCAACATCTTTATGTACCAAGAAAGCTTGTGTGTTTCTCCCACCTCATGGTCCTATGGGCATCCCCCCCACCCCCACCCAACCCCCACCCCACCCCCCCCCCTACCCCTAACCCTACCACTAACCCTAACCCTAACCCTAACCCTAACCCTAACCCTCTAACCGTCAGTGCTTGCTGTCTCTTCCTCCAATTGTGCACTGAGAGGGACCCGATCCTGTGACACAACAGAGAGATGCTTGGTGCTAGACTTTGCAGAGGTGTCAGTCTCTTGAGAGAACTCACGCAAGTTGGTCTGTGTAGAGATCCGAGAGTCTTCGCGTGACCGCGGCAGCAAGTCAGAAGTATTGGTCGATAAAGCCAGGGACGTAACCCTGGAGTTCATTCGTGACTGGGCCAGGGACGACATCCGCGAGCTCCGGTGAGAGATACTCAGAGATGGGCCTCGGGATCCCGGAGTCAGGGAAGAAATCACAGACCCAGCCTTTAGAGACTCCTGGGGCGTTACAGAAGATGTCTCAGAGATTCGGTGTGACTGGGCCACCGACGAGGCCCTGGGGGTGGCGCGTGATTGGGCCATAACCTGGGCACCTAAAGTTGTATAGGATGATTCCAACAGGGTGGCAAGTGGCCCAGTGTACAAGTTGGGCTCTTGGGTTTGGGACAACTGCCAGAGTGGTGGCCCCCCGGGGCCCCTGTGCAGCCAGCCGTGTATGCGGTCCAGGTTCCGCACGTCCTCGTGCTCCCTGCGCAGCTGATCTCGCTGCTCTAGCAGCTGTTGTCTCATGTCCTGCAGGACGCGGGCCCGGTGGAGAAGCCTCAGGAGTTCATATCGGAGACGCCCATTGTCCGACTTGATGGCCTGTGTGTGACTAATGAGGGCACGCGCCGCTTCCCGCTCCGAGCGGCGCGTCAGGGACTGCACGTACAGGCGTGCCTCCCGCTCAAAAGCAGCCTTGTCATCCAGGAAGCGTCGCTTCACCCGATGGAGGAGCTGCGTGTGTTCCACGCGCATGTGCAGGAGCTCGCGCTCCAGGGTCCGGATTCGCGCCATCTGCTCTAGCTGCAGTTCCTGCAGCGGGAGCGCGGATCAGCGCACGGGTGGGAGCGCGCCCATCCCTCTCGACCCCGCCCGGTCCCCGGAGGCGCGCTCACTGGCCTTGTAGGGTTGCAGCTCCTGAACCTGCTGTGTCATGTTTTCCGCGCGCCTCTTCATTTCCATCAGCTGTGCACGCACCCCATCCTCGCGCCCGTGATAAAGTGATGCCAGCTCGGCTCGTTGCCACCGGATATGTGCCAGGTCCACGCGGTTCTGGTCCTCTAGACGCACGATGGTGTTGGCACAGCGCTGCGCGTGCGTGCTCACATAACTGGCGTAAAGCCGGTTTTCTTCGCGTAAGCGCAGCGCCTCGCGGTCCAGGAACGCATTGTCCTGCAGCACCTGGTCCACCCACTGCTCACAGGCCACCAGATTGTCCGAGAGCAATGAGTACTCGCGCAGCAGATACTGCGCGCGCTCGGTGAGCTGGACCTCCGCATTGTCGCCCACCTGTTTGCGCCCGACCCCGCGCCTCTTCTTGGGAGCCATGGCTTGATGTGGGGCCAACTGGACTCATGAGAACATCGTGCCCCACCCCTCCCTCAGCTCAGCTACGGCCTTCTTTACCCCGAAAGTTCTGGACAACTACACCCTAGGTTCAAGGATGTGTCTTCGATTTATAAGGTTCAGAGCAGGCAGGATTAGAGATCAGAAAGCATCGTGGCCAACCTGTATCTGAAGTTTCCCTCCGGGCCGCGACTGTAGCATCCTGGCGCGTGTGTCTAGGAATGTTGATGTTGATATCTAGCCTGAGCAATCTCTATGGAGACAGAACTTAGTCCCTCTCCTTCCCCGTCCCCCCCCCCCCCCCCCCCCCCCCCCCCCCCCTCCCCCCCCCCCCCCTAAAAAAAAAAGCC